AACTAGAAATTACCTAAATTCAGGGGTAGAAAACCAACTAAACAAGCCTCATAATCAAATAGAAACTGCTGACATTGTTGAAGTTCTGGGACTAATGGATTCCAAAATCAGCTCAACTCAAGGATCATTATAATCTTTTAGTTTGACACAAAGTAATGAAGCTCAGGCAGAATCACAGGTCATATGCTATTGTACCTACTGTATTTTTTTCCTCAACCTAACCTTGGCCCTTATGTACTTCATGTACTAACTTCCATGCAAGGACTTGGGATTGATGATTTAAATTGCTCCACCTTAATCACAATCTGTCAACTCAGGTGGATCAAAGTTCATTTGATCTTTGATCTTTGGCCAGGAACATAAACTTTCTAAATGTCATTTTTCTTATTTGTAAAATAAGAATAATAAAAATCACTTCATAAGATTATTGCCAATTTCAAGATAAATATTTGTAAAAGCATTTCAGAGTTCTTAGCACATAGCAGTAATTTAAGAACATTTATCTTGTTTCTATCCCATTTTCCTACATCTGTGCGTGGTTCATATCTATTTTTAGATGGGAAAGAGCTGAAATTTGGTAACAGGATGCTTGGTCTCTACAATGTACATACAGAACTTCTATCCCTCTCTTTGAGCAACATCTTCTCAGTACTCCCTCAGTAGTCCTCAGTATTCCCTCAGTATTCTTTTATTAGCAGTAGTCATTAAAGAAGATTTTATCATAAAATTCTAATTTTTTTACCAGTACATTTCTTCAACAGCACAAATGTTCTTGGTTTTGATCTTTTTAAATCCAAAACTGTACTGCTTGTATGGTAAAGGTTACTCCAATACCTCATCTACATGGTCTACTTGTTAGCAGTCAAAATGCAAATAGGAAGGACTCATAGTAAAGCAACTTGATCATATAGCACACCAATAATAAAGAAAGAATCTACTGTAAATGTATATTGTGAAAAGTAGTTTGAGAGCCCCCTCTGTCCTTAACATTCCAGCAATAATATTAACTGCATTTAGTTATGATACCACTAATAAAGTTAATAAATGATCCCTCCCTTTAAAACAGAAAAAATGCACTTAGGATTAACTTTTATCAGAGAAAGGATATTACAACAAATATAATTTAAAGGTAAAATATTTTGCATTCAAAAAAGGCCAGTACATAGCAAATAATGAAGAGACACACCAGTATACAGGTATGAGACAAGAAACATAACACCAAAAGGTAGCACTAAAGAACCTCAGTGAAGGATACTTTATCTCATGAACATTTGATAGATTAACTAGAAAAAATAAATTAAATAAGGATAAGAGGACATGAACAGTATGCTTGATGAATATATATCAAACTCTCCACAAATAAGATAATAGAAATGCCAAATAAATAACCAAAAAACCTTCAATAATAAAGAAATGAAACTAGAACAGTGAAAGAAAAAAAATAAAAGGTCAATACTAGCTCGAGTTACAAGAGAGTGTTATGTTTTTTGACCTATAACATCCTAGATACAATACTCAGTAACTTTGATGGGATGAATGGCCACCCAACATACCCTATGTGGGCAGCCTGCCAGAGAATTGCCATTGGTTCAACAAAGCACTCCTACTTTTGCTCCTTGGCTCTCTCCTCCAGTTAGCTACTCCCCAAACTACCTATCACTTCCTGTAGTTTCAAATCTACCTCTTTGTTAGACCAAGGAGCATATTTCTTCCTTGTGGATTCCCAGACCCTGGAAGACTCAGGGACTAAAGTGAACATTTAGTAGCAATATAATCCCTCAACAAAGGCAACTTTCAGCTTCAGAGTCATTCTACTGCCAGCTGTGAGTAGAAACATGATTGCCACTGCCTTGTTACTAAGCAAACCAGGGAGAACTAAAATTGTTTCCTCCAGCTCTATTGACACCATTTTGTATTGGACACACATGCTCAGCCCATTTGGATTCTGGACCTTGGTGCTTGCTGCCACTTAACCCATCAGATCAGTGCAGTGGGAAGAAAACCTTGTCTAGTTGAGGAAGATACATCTCAGAGTTGGATAACTTGGCTGGGAGATTTAGTAGTTTTATGACATGGCATAGGTTACCCACCTGACTCATCTTTTGTCTCATTTAAAAAGGAAATAAATACATACATAATAATGTTATATATATATATATACATACATATATATATATATAAAATTTATAATGATACAGTAAAATATTTTAGCCAACATGGGACCACACATACAACGGTGTTTCCAATAAGCTGTCCCATATAAACCTGGCTGTGTAGGAGGCTATATCTGCATATGTGCAACTCTATGATGTTTGTATTACTTCACAGAGGGTAACCCAGTATTAAGGGACACCTGACTGCATTTAAAAATTAAATGATAATGGACCTCTCTGGTGGCCTATGGGTTAAATGTCAGAGCTATCATCTCTAGGACCTAAGTTTGATCCCCACCAGGGAGCTAACCCAGTTATGGTGCAATATGATCTGTCTGGCCCAAGGCTCCCCTCAGCAGTAAACCCAACCTGCTCTGTTTCCTATACTGTCTCTGGTGAATCCTTTCATACCCTCCCTCTCCTCGCCCCTAACTCCCTGCCTCCTGTACTTCTGGCCTACACCCTAGAGTTCTTCTATACAAACTAAAAAAAAAAAAAAAATTAAATGATAGATCTCCCTTTTTATGCAAATCAGAGCCCTCATGGGAACTCTTTTAAGAAATGCAGATTCTTTGACCATAACTACTATGCACTGAATTATAATCTTCCTTTAACAAAAGCCTAGGTTCTTCTAATGTAGACTGAAGATTATAAAGCATCTGTCTCATCAAATGAAAAGAGAGCAACAAATTCTTAAGGAAATTTCCATTTTCTTTTCTCTATTGAAGATTCCCCTGCTATCTGAGAGAAGGTTGTTCCTATTTAGTAAGATATGATAGGTTATTTTGGGGGCTTGAATTCTCAAAAAAAAGTGCCAAAAAAACTATAACAGCATTCCCAGAGCCAAAAAGTACCTAAGCAAATCCTACCAAATAGGAATGGTCTATGTATGATAACAGGGGGAAATCTGCAAAGTAATGTTTTATATGGTTTATGTCCCCAAAGTTACCAATACCCTACTTTTTTTCTTTGAAGTAGGCAAACTTTGGGATTTTAATTCACTTTTGATCTTTAGAGCATCCTTTCATACTAAATATGTTGATTTAAATAACCAATGAGATGGAAGGTTTGCTTATTCCTGTCACACCCTTGGCATAGGCCTCTTCTTTTCTTTAAGTCATCTCCAAGTTTGGGAAATATGCCCCTTTTCAAATGCCAGGAGATGGGGACAAAGGATGATATTGAAATATATAAAGAGAAATTATGTCTCTTTGCTCTGTGTGCCACTTCATCAGACTTTTCCACAATATTCCTTGAGTTCTTAAAAATAGACATTAATGCATTTATTTATAAAATTTCAAAAAAGTGAGATATACATATATATGAAAAAATCCCTAGTGCAGTGCCCAGTATATAATCAGTGCTCATCAAATGTTTATAGCTTCCTTTCCTATTCAGTCTTACTATATTGCAATTATTTTTTAAACACCTACGTTACACATTAGGCTTTGAACAACAGGAGGGAAAGAGCTTATTTTTCATTTATAAACATGGCCACATTCTCCAAATGAATGGTAAATAATTCAGTTACCTATAATTACAGATAATATATAGATAATAGATCATTTCTAACTTTAATTATTTTTTTTAAATCTGTATACTTAAACCATGGCCAATGTACATTTGAAAAATTCATTTACGAAGTTTTGAGCAAATAATTACTGCACAGCTATTACATATCAAGAACTATGATAGACACTGGAGACTAAAATAAAAATAAGCAAAAGTAGACACTTTCCACTTTCAGTTTAAGAGGAACTTTTGACATTATCTCAGAATAGAATATAAAATTTTATTATGATAAGTGCTACAAGAAAGTCAGACTGTTTTATCAAGATGACACAAGTGAAACACGTTACAATAGTCTGAAAATTCTTATCTACATACTTACCACTAGTCACTATTTTCTTTTTTTTTTTAACGTTTACTTATTTATACATACAAGAACTAGGGTATAGGTCAGAGATGCCGGGTGTGTGTGTGAGAGAGAGAGCGGATTCACTAAAGACAGAGTGGGGAGCTGAACAGGCAGACCTACTGAAGTTCAGTGCTGAGGGGAACAGCGGAGAGACAGGAGAGGTCTGCCCCGCCTTGTGGGTCAATTCACTGGCCAGGGATAGAACTCATGCTGCAATGGCTATGGACAGCTTCACTGTGCTGTGCTTTAATTCGTTTTGCCACCAGGGAGGGCCCGTGTCACTATTTTCTATCATCAAATAACTTACTTCCTTAAAGTTTCTCTTAAACTGAAAAATCTCCTGTGGCATCGGTTCCAGAATATATTTTAAACGAACCTCTTCTGAACAAGTTTGTGCATAAGGGCTGGATAAGGCTGCTAGTGGTCTTCCTTAGTCCTGGTCTGTTCATGAAAATATTGACACTGACCATCTTGTCAGAGAGGTTTCGAGATCGTCACTTTAGAAAGACATATGAGTCCTGGAATAGTTGAGTTCAATGATATTCGTGAAACAACGTCAAATCCACAAGGCGAACACACTAAGCTAAATACTAGGGAGCCTGAGTGACCCCATTCAGGCTCTTCTATCCTGACTAGGAAGATCACTGAATTCAAGAAACTGCTGAGTGACGATGCCAAAGAAAAACAGTTCACAATGCCCGCCTTTACTTGAATAAGCTGGAGCTGATGTCTCTGTCTCCTCTTTTTAATCCACCTGATATGGTTACACTCATTTAAAACTTTTGTGACTATGTTACAGGCCACGTATGATGGGGAGAGTGAGGTGGTATTTATTGAAGAAGGGAGTTTATTCGTGGTAACTGCTGCTGAGGGAACAACAGGTTAGAGTCCAGCCGGTTCCCCGCCGACCCCCCTCACTGCTGACATACCTGTTGGAGAAGTAGTACTGCTTGCCTAGGTTCTTCAACCTAGCCTGCAGCCCAACTAACGTGGCCATCGCCACCAGGATTCTGGTCTACCGCCGTGTTGCCCTCAGTCTCCTAGGCAACCTGGCTGAACCATTCAGCTCTCTCGGGGGAGGAGTTCATTTGGAGTTTACTCGCTTTGCCCTAGCATTTTTCAGCCTTCGGAACTCGAAAACGAAAAAGAAGACATTTCGCATAGGCACAAGTGGAATGCTTGCGTCTCCGTGTCTGCCGGGAGTGTAATGAGGCGAAGGTGAGAATGGGGAGCCGGGACAGAGGGACCGATGGTCGCTCCCACTTCCGGTTTCCGCTGCGGCCGCTTCCGGAAGCTCTGCTCAAAATGCTGAAGTGCCGTCGGCTGGTCGCTGGTGAGCTGCCACTCGGGGTCTGTTCTCGGGCCTGAGCCTCGAGCCCAGGCTCCTGGGTGTCGTTAATGTTCGGGGCCGCCGGGCGCCAACCGATCGGAGCTCCAGGCGCCGGGAACAGCTGGTGAGGCTGGAGGACTGAGGGATGGGAGAGGAGGAATGGGAGATCCGGCCCTGGACCCCAAGTGCCCGGGGAGGGATCCGGGGCGCTCAGGCCTGGAGCTCTTTCGGACCGATGCCTGGGAGCAGGCTACTAGGTGTGAGCTAACGTGGGTGAGGGGGTGCGGTATGGGACGGCTGGCCGCCTGTCCCGCACTCAGCGATGGAGCGGAGAGTAAAGCTTTCTGTAGCTTGGTAGCCTCCGATCTCCTCGTCGATCGCGGGCGAGAGACCTGAGCTAGTAGAACCGATCTGACCCCAGGCCTCCGCCCCTACTTCCCCTTTAAATTTTGCTAACTGTCTTTGGAGAACAGACCCCGAAATCTAGAGTTCGGGGAGTGTGATCATGGATCCTCTCATCCTCTTTAATAATAATCGGGGAGTTTGATCATGGGTCTGCTCACTCTCTTTAATAATGATTATAATAATAAGTGGGAGTAAACTACCTGTTCCTATTCCTGAAGGTTTCATTTTGTTTCAAATGAGATGTTTCTAGACGTCCTCTAAAAACAGACAAAATGACAGGGTTAAGTGTGGGACTGGATTGCAGCTACTGTATCTTGTCATTATTGACTCTTAAAATAACAAATTACTCTGACTTCTCAAAATCACAAATTAATATTCTTATCACAACTTTGTGGTAGGAGATAATCACAGGCACAGAATACATTAGTGACTTGAGCAAAACTGTCACACACACTGTCGCCTTATAACTGGAACCTGTTTTTTGCATTAGAGTGGATAACTGTAATGCCAGTACTGTTTTTTTTTTTCTCTTTCTGACAAACCCTTTCCTACAAGCATACCCATGACAAAGTGAAATAAAAATGTTCCATTGACTATTCTCAAGCATAATGTATTGACCAACAGGTGAAATACAGCTTTAAAAGTGTATGTCCACTCTTAGATTCTGCAGCAAATGAGGTCAGAGGGATTTCTTAAAGTTGGTGATCTCAAAGAATTTCTTTTACATCATATATCACTGAAAAGTTAGTATTTTTACACTGAGTGTTTTGCATGTGATCAGATCATTCTCTACGTCATTTCCTAACAGACACATGGGTTATGCTACAAATCCCTATATTTTACAGTGAGAAAAACAGGAAACACTTTTTTTTTTAAAAATTGAGGTATTATGGTTTTACAACTTTGCCTATGTTTTTTGAAGTGTGGGTATCATATCACACCCACCTACAAAGCACCAGTGATCTTCCAACACGGTCCATTGGGCTCCCTCAACCTTTCTCTCTTTCCCCTCTTCTCCTCTGGTAGCATCAGTTCTGTAGTTAGATTCCAAGGGTTTGTTTGATGTTTCTCTGCATTCCACCTGTGAGTGAAATCATATGGAATTTGACATTCTCCTCTCGTTTTGATTAACATAATTGCCTCAATGAACCATAATTTTTTAATGGTGATATAACTTACATAGAATAGAATACATAGTTCTATTTAGTATTTAGTACTTGTAATTTGGGCATATGTATATAATGTATAATCCCCACATAAAGCAAGATACAGGGCATTTTCATAATCTCACAGTTCCCTTCCAGGGCATCTATATTAACTTTGCACCATTCACTATTAATGATGAGACAAAATGTTCTATGTAGGTTGGTTTGCTCTTGCTGGGGGTGAGCATCTAATTAAAAAATAGACCCTTCCACCTTCTACCCAAATGATTGTTAGGTACCTCCTAATACAGAGATACCCTCTTTAGTTCCTCTTTTCAATATCCTATCCTGTTTTGACATGGCAACATGCTACTCATCCTTCCATATAGCACTGTAGAACCTAGTGCCTAGCACTGATCTTTGCTTTTGAATGAAAGTAAAATTATGACCAACTGAATGTGTTCCAGATAACTGAAATTTTTCATTTCTAATTTATCTACACTGCCCTCCCATCATTCTAAATTTCTTAATGGAATTTTCTTTCCCCATTCATTCATCAGATATTTACTAGCCTCTGTATGTAATTTTATCTCAGTGATGAAATCTCAGAGCAGCTGGTGATGCGACTACTAAGTAGTTAACTTAGTGTCAAATTCACATGTATATGTGTGTGTGTGTGTATATATACATATATATATACACACATATATATACATATATATATGCATACCTTCAGAAAATGTTTTGAGGTAGTGTTATCATTTCTTTGCATTTTAGAATTGGTGAGACAGGACAAATAAAATAACTTTCCTAGTGTCACAACTTACAGTAAGATTTCAGTATAAAAAAATGATGTATATATACATACACATATATGTATATAATTTTAAACTCCCCTGTTATACTGCCTGCATGTTCCAATAAGATACAGTATCTCAAGGACTTGTCCAAATTTGTTAACAGCTTAGAATTCCTAATAGATTTAATGCCCACCCTGACTTAAAAGCTTTTCTTTGGTGTCAAGGTTTGTCTTTAATTTTTAAGCCCCAAATGGGTAAATGTAGGTTATTTATACCTTAATAATTTGTTAAAAAGTATAACTGATTATTTTATAATTTTAAAGCATAAGGAAGAAAAGTTTTATACAATTCATTTAAAAAAGTAGTGATTGTTGTATGCATGGCAGGAAGTGAATGTATTCCCTTGGGCAAGTTATTCTTGTGATTCGTTTTGTGATTCATTTTATGAAATCATAGGTGAGATTGCCCATCTCCCTTCCTGCCTTATTGCTCACATAAAACTTTGAAATGAAGAGTGCAAAAACTGCCTTTTTCGGTAACTATAATGTTAATCTGGCTTTTAAAATTGAAGTAATTTATTGGCTATATCACATTTAGAAGATAGATTGACTTTTCTTGATGTATTTTTATATTTGCTCTTATTGAGCTATTATTGGCAACATTTAATTAGTTAGGTGTAATGGTTTCATATTATGTAGATACATATTGTGAAATGATCATATGAAGTCTAGTTAACATTCATCACCATGAATAATTTTAATTTGGGGGGGGTAAGTTTTAAAATTGTTTCTGTAGTATTGTTATAGTATAGTATACTAGAGTATTGTTACTATAGTCAGCTTGCTGTAAGTTACATACCCAGGACTTACTCTGTAGCTGAAAGTTAGTAGTACTTTTTGACTCCCCTTTCTTTCATTTTACTCATTCCTTCTTGCTTTCCCTATCTCTTCTCTGTATCTATGACTTTGTGATTTTTTTTTTTTAGACTTCTGTGTACAAGTGAGGTTTTGTGGTATATTTGGTTTTCTCTGACTTTCCTTAGCATAAAGCTTTTGAGATTCATCTATGTTGTCTTTATTGTTTCTTTGTTTTTACTTTACTAGTGATTTATATTTAAAGTCAATTTCTGGGTATTTAAAGAGATTTTAAAGCTTGAACTAAATAAACAGGTTTTAAAAAGTAGTTACTATAATAAAAGTTAAATCATTGTTATATTGAATTATTAAACATGCATCATATGGCATCATTCTAGAGATCAGATATTAGTATATATATTAGTATAGATATCATGTATATTATTAAAATCACTATTTATGGCGACTTGGAAATATTTAAACCATTTTTGATAATTCCTCTGAACTGCCACTTTAGATTTACTAAAACCTTAGAGTATCTGGTTCGTTGATGCAGTAGAAAATTTGAAGTCTGGATTGCCTACACCATTAGTCAAGTCTTATTTTTTCTGTTATTTGCTCATTCATTTAATCACTCATTGGCTTGTTCTCCAAACAGAATTTTTTAAAAAAACATCTGTATGTGTCAACATTTTGCTGTGTACTGTAGTTAATATTCAGTTGTCTTCACTCCAATTCTTGTTCTAGGAATCCAGCATATATTACATTTAGTAATTACTGAGCAGTTACCATATATAAGCAATGAATGAGAATCCTCTCCTATATGCTACTAGAAGCTTGTGTAGAAGCATTTCAATGTATGTGTGTTGAGGAGAATTGAAATGACTTATTTTTTGACTTTTAAATTCTTGTTAATTTTAGACTTTAACTTTTTATTTAAGTAGTTTTGTATTTGATGGTTTACTTTCTGAAAGCATCTAAGAGTATAAGAAGTTTTGAGTGAATCTTGAAGTCACTCATTAAAGTAACCCAAAAAATCAAATTAATGTTATTCACATTTAAATAATAAACAGCTTGCCCTAATAAATCACTATTTGGAATAAACAGAATTAGACTTTTTCATAAAGTCTTTTACTTGTGGATCAAGTAACTAGGGTTGGAAGAGGAGTGCTTTCTGAGTGCCCTGCAGTATGGGACGTGATCCCTACCACCTTCTGCTGAGTTCTAGTTAGGGAAGCTTTTGCTTTTGCCCTCGCTTATAGGAAATGCATTTTTCTATTTGGTAAGAATCCATGACTCTTAATTTGGAGGATCATTTTCTTTAACTTTTTTTCTTTTATTTGTATATTATTAAGACAGAGGCAGTTCAGATACATAGCAATAGTACTTTAAGCTTAGGATTTTGGATATTTTTCCCATTTATAAGTCTTTATGGAGTCCTTGACTTTCTTGAAATTGTATGCACAATTTTTGTATGCACAGTTTTAACAGATAGCTATTATCACCTCTTTTCCAACATTCAGTGATTCAACAGTGATTGAAGGTTTTTATGACATCTTCAGGATGTATGGTTTGGTTTTTACTTTCAGTGATGGAAGTTTCAACTGTTTTAATTATCTGATTTGATTATTTCAGTGTCTAGTTTGACTTATTTGGGGTAGAGGTTGTTGAAAGATAAACTCTTAGTAATTGCTTTCCCTCACACTCATCCTCACAGAATCCCTTCATGGTAGAAATTATACCTATTTCTATGATGAATAAACAGAATCAAAAAATAAGTAACTTATTTAAGGGCCTATGATTAATAAATATGGAAGAATTTGACTTCCATATATATATTTCTGTCTCTCAAGCTCATGTTCTCCACAGTTTCCTCTCAGCCTGGTAATTTTACTTAATACTCCATATTTATTTATTAATATAAAAGTTTTTTAAATTTTATTTATTTTTGAATAGAACTGATGTGTAGGCCAGAGGTGTTTGTGGGTAGGTTGGGGGGAGGGGCGGTGAGATGATTCACCAGAGACAGGATGGAGATATAATTTACTGAAATACACTGTCCATCGGAGCAGTGGGACAATCAGGTGAGGCCTGCTGTTCCATCTGTGGGTCAGCTCCCTGGCCTGGGATGGAACTCAGCCTTTCCTTAGTGACAGAGTAGAGAGGTAACCCCTGGGTCACCAGGAAGGCCCGTTTTGTTGTTGATTTTACATGTTTCAAATTAAGATAGGCCATTCTACCTCTTTAATAAAGAGAGGAAAGATGAGTTATGATGCTTGCTTTAAACAATAGAGCTTTAAACTAATACAAGTGTTTGCATTTAATATAGGGAGTTATTCTTAATTTTCTAAGATGACTTCTTCCCCAAATGTATATAAGGATAAAATTAAATACATGATTAATAAATTACAAGTCTGAGATAAAGGTTTATTTTGACAAGTAATATCACCATTTTGAAATAAACTTAGTTTGACAAGTAATATCATTAATGAAGGAAATTTAAAAATTCATATGAACACAGAAATTGTACTCAAGTTGAAGAAAATTACACATCATAGTGCATTGGTATAAATTTCATCCCTTATGTAGCATCTCTAAGACTCACCATCTGGATGTTTAGTCATCCATTGTCATGGTCTACACTATTAAATGTTAATTTCAAGAAGTGTTTTTGGCATACTTTTACCACGCACCTAATGTTGTGATATTAAATAAAAGTATGAATAGCTAAGTATGTAATTCCAAGACTGTTTTCTTATTGGTTTGTGAGCACTTGTAGCATGCATTCATCAGCATAGTTTTTGTACCTATTAAGCATGTACATATACACATACATAAAAACATATATATAAACATATATATATAGTGTGTGTATGTGTTCCTGCAGAATCTCTAAATGTCTTTCTCTTTCCTTAGATTTTTAATTTTTTTTTAATGATTGTATTGAGCAACAACTTACTTGAGTACTCCCTCTTAAAATTACATAATTTTACAGAAAAGGTAATCCAGGTTTTATAGAGTTAAAGATGTGAATTTTACCACTTACTAGGTGATGAAGAGTATTTGATTTTCTTTTTCCTTAACTAGATAGCTGCAGTTACCCTTTAGTTACATCTGGAGAGTAGTGTTTATTTGTTAATGAACTTGTTGGATTTATTGAGTAGACACATATATATCCTATTGTAACAAGGAGTTCTTTTTATCAGTATCCAGGCAATTAATTTTTTTATACTTGCTATATTTTTCCTGTCTTAGGAATGGTAGTTCTTGTTAATAGAAGATTCAAAGAGGAGTAGTCATTGACAAATTTGGTGCCTGTTACTGGAAGAATCCCTTTTCTACACTTTCGTGGGCTTTCTCACACTTCTGCTGGGCCCACCCTTACATGTCTGATTGGAGAACCTTTGCACCAACAGTCATGTCCCAGGCCTTTGGGGACATTTAAGCAGCAAGGTAGGACTAAGGCAGCTTTTGATGCTTTTTTTTTTTTTTAAACCAAAATACATTTGAAAGAAAACCCTAATAAGCTCCTTGACATGTTTTCTGTGTTAATTGACTTTCCTTACTCTAAAACACATGTTTTTTGGGGAGCCTTTTTCTGCATGAATTAGAACTTGATGTTAAGGAAATGAGGAGAGCAACTTTCTCATTTCCCTGGGGGTTTAGTATTGCCTAATGAAAAACAAATGTGATCTTTGACCAAAAATTCTTAACCTAAAACTGGAATATCAAATTTTGGATTCATCATCCATTTTACATTGATCAAAGTAATGTAATGGCAAAATGCTTTGCTTTTGTTTTTTGCATTTACTCAAGTCATTTCCTTTTATAGAGTGTAACTTTATATACATAGTGGGACTATAGTTTTATTTTATTCTTATGGACTATACCTTATTAGAGAACTGTTTTCTTAGACATAACTGACTGCAAATGATTCCCACAATCATTATTCCCACAATCATTATTCCCACAATGAATTCTAAGTGACAAGAAATTATTTTACAAGAACATAAAGTTTCAAATTAGCTAAGTAAATGTTTGAATTAGCTAAAATTCCCTGAATTTTACTACAGTTCAAATTGTAACACATTGGATGCTTCATAAATAGAGGTTTTTGTACAGAAAAGTGACATAATTCCAGGTTTCCCTTCGAAGGAAAACATACTTAATACATCTTTAAAGAACGTGTTTCAGTACAATGGTCCTCATTATAACTGCCAAGCAAAGGAATCAAATGAGTTATTGATTATGTGATGATTTCTTATAATGACTATTTCTATAAGCCTGTTGATGTCACTTTTACCTGAGAGCTGTAAGTGAAACAGCTTGACTGACTCTAATTTTAGTGATTCATTTAAAGTAAATTACTTCCGAGCCAGGTGATACCACAGAGTCTTCTTTTTAGACTAAGGATCTTTGGTGTTTGACTGGCTTCCAGTGAATTTTTTTAGAATTGTAATATTATAGTCAGATATAACAGGTCTTTAAGATTACCAAAGAAGTAGTCTTACAGGAAAGGAGTAAAGCAGTCATTGCCATAAAGGGAAAACATAAAAACAATTAATATATAGGTAATAAAAGAACCACTTCTTAGAGTAATCAGAATTGCAGTCCTTGGTTAGGTCTTAATGCTAATTCCTATGTGACACTCACTTCTCTTAATCTAATAAAGTTCGGAGACCTGAATGATACACAGAACCCTTTTAAGGGCTTTAAGAAATCTTGGTGGGCCTCCAGAGTAAGTTTCAGATTTACTTTTTATAGTTCATATAGAATTTTTGTTTATACATTCAGAGCCCCAAAGGAGGATTAGCATTTGAGTTCAACTCACTGCACTCACTACCTGTGTGTTCTGTATTTTGTCTTGATTCAGGTTTCCTATCCCATTTTACTCAAAACAATGTGAGTCGGTTGGCTTTTCCACCATTAAAATACCTCTACCTGTTGCTAAATCAGTTGTAAATACAAAGTGGATACTGGAGCTAGTTCAGCAAGCATTCTGGGTCTGGAAACAGATTAGTTACTAGAGTCAGAGTCCAATTTCTACCACCTTCTAGATAAACTACCCTTATCTCTGCCTCTTCTAGATAAACTACCCTTATCTCTGCCTCTCTGTATTTCATCTATCTACTCATAGTGTTATTGTGTGAGAATGAAAAGAGGTAATGCACATAAAACACTCAGAAATGGATGTGACACATGGTAGGTACACAAGTGCTAGCTCCCATTCACAGCACACCGCTGTTGTAATTGGGAAGCCCAATGAATCACAGTGTTAGGTTTTTATTTTAACTTTCAGATTGCCATTTAAATGAGAAGATGCAGTTTAGAGTTGTTAGAGGGAATTTGCAAGTACCCCAAATTAGATACTATGAAAACTGGGCATCAGCAAACTGTGGCCTGCCATCACTTGGTTTTATAACTATGATTTATTGGAATACAGCCTTACCTACTCATGTATGTGCTGTCTATGACTGTTTTCCGCTTAGATTACTGAAAGTTGAGGCACGGTAGCACAGACCTAATGGCTTACAGGGCCAAATATATTTGGCCTTTTACAGAAATGTAAATGCCTCCCCCTCCTCATCCCCTATAGAGTAAACACACTATGTTAACTCTTCCAGTTGAGGTTTTGATCCTTAGGTGCTTCTAGAAATGATTTTTTGAGAAATGAGAAATGATTTTTCATGATCTTCTAAGAAAGTTGCATATTTGAATTACCTGTAATGTTTACAAGGTAAATTTCTATGGATGGGTGCTTCTGTCACAACCAGTAGATTAAGGAGTTGGATGTGGACAGGATCTATTGAATTTATGAAAATTTTTAGAGAATACTGATGTTTACCCTTGCTACAGCCTAATTTTCTCCCTGATAATAGAGTTCAATAGTTGGTGGGTATGTGATATTTTATTAAAAGGGCCACCAGACTACTTCAGAATAAATAAGAAATACAGTTGTGCATTTTATTTAGACCAGTAGATCTCCAGTTTATATATGAACAGAGTTTCTGTTTTACTGGGTTATGAGGTTAGTGTGGCCAGAAAAGGTGCCTAGTGTTTGGTTAAACATTTTAACCCACAATATTACAACTCTTAAATGTACCCATCTGTCTTTTTGTCTACCTTTCTTATCTTGGCAGTAATTGAGTAGAGCTTGTGGTGAGTAAGGAATTTGATGCTCCTTTTTCATAGAAGTGTGTGTGTGGTGGGGGGTATGTTTGTGGGGGAGGTTGTGGGGGTGTAAGGAAGAATGATGTTAATGAGAAATTTCTTGCTATTTTGTGCTCTAGGAAAAGGACAGGAGTGGAACAAAGAACACTAATTTAAGTAGAAATAACTTTTCCATAATTACAAAGTAAAAATATAAAAATACTAGGCCCTTTCATTTCTAATATTATGCTTACTATAAATAATTCCTGTGTTTAATAAAAGAACTTATGCAAGATAAAAGAGTTTAAAACTGAATCAGAATATTTGAAATTGTACTATCTTGGATAGAAAATTAAATAGCTTTTAAATATTTCTTTATAATAACTTAATTTTACTAAGATTTAGAGTGATTTGTCTGCTGTAATAAACTAGGTCAATATAGTTAACATACTATTTCTTTACTTTTTTTTTTCTTCCTTTAAAAAATGTAGGCATTTCAGTCGAACAATGGAAGAATTGGTCCATGATCTCGTCTCAGCATTGGAGGAGAGCTCAGAGCAAGCCCGAGGTGGATTTGCTGAAACTGGAGACCATTCTCGAAGTTTATCTTGCCCTCTGAAACGCCAGGCAAGGAAAAGGAGGGGGCGAAAACGAAGGTCCTTTAATGTTCATCACCCATGGGAGACAGGTCACTGCTTAAGTGAAGGCTCTGATTCCAGTTTAGAAGAACCAAGCAAAGAATATAGAGAGAATCATAACAATAATAAAAAAGATCATAGTGACTCTGATGACCAGATGTTAGTGGCAAAACGCAGGCCATCGTCAAACCTAAATAATAATGTCCGAGGAAAAAGACCTCTGTGGTATGAGTCTGATTTTGCTGTGGACAACCTGGGGAACAGGACGCTGCGCAGGAGGAGAAAGGTCAAACGTATGGCGGTAGACATCCCCCAGGATGTCGCTACTAAGCGGACTATGACCCAGCCCCTTGAAGGCTGCAGAGATCAGGACATGGACAGTGATAGAGCTTGTCAGTACCAAGAGTTTACCAAAAACAAAGTCAAAAAAAGGAAGTTGAAAGTAATTAGACAAGGACCAAAAATCCAAGATGAAGGCATCGTTTTAGAAAGTGAAGAAATCAGCCAGACCAATAAGGACAAAATGGAATATGAAGAGCAGAAAGTCTCAGATGAACTCATGAGTGAAAGGTGACTTTTATATTCTCTCAATCTAAAAATCTGTGTCCCGAGTGTTTGTGGTTGACTGTGTTTTGTATTTTAATTAATTCTATTTTAAAATAATTATAAATTACAATAATGGTAGTGATGTGACTGTTTAACCATGCTTATCTTTCCTTATAATTTATGATGTTTAGCACAAAGCAAAATTACTAATTTGATTTATACAGAGTCTTTTGATTGTATTATAATGACTTAATTTTCAGCTACAAAGAGAAAAGGAAATGGGTTTTCAATGGAAGGAATGTGCTTTTGAATAACAGCACATTAGTAACTCTTAGAATTTGATTTATAATTATTTGTTTAATTATAGAGCTATAGTCTTTGGGGTTATATTAGTGTCACAATTCATCAGTAGTTCTGATTCCTGAGAATCAGAAATTGAGGCCATTGCAACTTTTGTGGTGTGGCATTTTAAAAGATGTCTGTAGATCACTAGGGAAACCTAGTGTATAGTCTGTAAACACGTGATTGCCTTTTTAGGCAAATAGGGAAGTCCTGACTCTGGCTCTTAGTCTCACCTGTCAATTCTGGAAAACAGGTTTTTCACAATGATAGTTGTTGCTGTTTTGACTTGTGCTATTTTGATAACTATTATTTTGACAGCATCAAAAGGTAAGTAAAATTTTTCTTTTACAGGAAACTAATGCTTTTGCAGTGAATGAAAAGGTGTTGCTTTGTTCTTAAAACCAAAGGCATATCTGTTATCTAAAAAAACACTTAAGAAGTAATTTTACTCTAGGAAAGAGTATTTGATTTTAAGATTGGCATCACTTTAATTATATGAATTGTGAACTGTGGATTTGTGTGTGCATGCATGTTACATATTGTATTTATTTTCCTTTTAAATATTGATTACAGACAGAAGTAGATTCTGGTCCAAGTTTATAGAATGAACTTCTTATTAGAAATTATTTACTATTAATGTGATTTTTTTCTTAAGGAAGTGAAAATTACTTAAACAGTGTTTCATGAAGGCTGTGAAAAGTCTGTGTTACCAGTTTCTCTTCCAAGACAGTTGGGATTTTGTTGATGCTGTTGGCCTGAATGACATGACATTTCTTTATATGCTAGTATTGGCTATTATGGCTGAGGACTCCTCAGCTTGACTTGAAAGCAATTATCTTGCTCAGATGCTGGGAGGGAGGGTGTGTGGCAGTGGAGATAAGTACTCAATTCTGGATTATTCACAGATTACCTGCTTTCTGGATTGATTGTGCAAGCCCCTCCTTTTATTGATGTGTGCCTTTTATTGATTGACATCCACCCTGGAATAGAAATGAGATGAAACTATCTTCACTACACTGTAGAAAATATACCTCTGGCTCACATGCCATATTATTAACCAATGTTCCTCTAAATTAAAATAATTAAAAAGTATATTTGAGTTTCTGTTCACTATCATCCACTACCAGCAGTCCACAGCCCAAATACAAAGTTTCAGAGAATGATCTCATTTTTTAATAAATTTTAGAAATTCATTCTTTTAGAACTTATCTATGAAACTACCTTACATAGTCACTAAAAAGTTAGGTGCATGTTTCTTCTTGTATGACAGTAGTTAAGGCCTTAAAGAATTCTCTTGAGAAGTATGATTTTTGAGACTACTTCTAAAGCGTCCCTACTATATAAAGCTATATATTTCCTTGCACCTGCTTTACAAATAAGAACTGAGCTATTTCACTGTGTTGTGAGATTTAATATGCTTTTGAGTAACTATTGTTTACTATTTGCTGATGATCCCTAGACTAGTAAGACATAACCTGACCTCTTCAGTCTCATAGTCTGGAATAGCCAGACAAGCAAATAATGAAAATGGAATGTGTTAAGTGAAGGTACTAGTGAGGGAAGACCTCCCTAAAGTACTGGACCTTGGAGGAGTGAAAAGGGAGGAAATAGTATTGCCAGGTTAAAGGAACAGCTTGTGCACTAGCATGGATGGTGAAGCAGTGTGAGGTCTTTGGGGAGTTATATATAATTCATTATCACTGGAATATAAAGTAGGAGTTGAAGCACCAGTGATGACAAGTCCAGAAGGCCTTTTGTGCTTTGGTGTAAAGTGTGAATTTCCTTATATAAGTAACCGGAAGCCAGTGAATAATTTTTTTATTAGGTTGCAGTAATCTTGAGTACAGTGGCTTTTTGGCCTTGACCTTTGACTCATCCTTCAGTAGGTGATGAGTTGTGGTGATCGCAAAGGAAAAAAAAAAAAAAAACAATTTTAAGAATTGGCCTCCATGGAAGGTGAGCTGATTGGGGAGGATGAGTAAGAAAGGGAACTCACAGATGAGGGTCTGGCTTCCAGAAAATACAAGAAATGAACAGATTGGCACTGGGGAATGGGATTACTGTACATACATTTAGTCAACCAACATTTCTGGAAATATTCTCTTCTGTATAATTTATACTTTGTATGCGATAAAAATCATACTAGAAAACTAGAAAGAGGCATCTTTGGAGACATGCCATCATGACATTCAGCTGCTGAAAAATGAAAGCCTTGCTTCTATTTTAAGTTCTTGTTCTGATTTATTGAGCTTACTAATAAGTATGCTTATATGCTTGGAACAACTAGCTAGGTGTCCAGGAAGTGAAATGTAAATAAGGAAACATTGAAAACATGGGAAAATATCTCAAAGTAGGGTGAAGATCACTGAGGACTAAGCACTAGTTTCAGAAAGGACATTCTGATTTCCTTTTATCCTCAGAGTAGTTAGAGAGAGAAGAAATGCTCCTTATAGAAAACATAAACAAAAAGGCCAAGTAATGAGAAGAATTTAGGTGGGGGTCCGGCTACAGAAAACCTGGAAATCCAAACTGGACACAGTAAGTGTGGTTGTTACATAGGATGGTGTGGTATGGCATGGTATGATATGGTAGTTGTAAACTTTTTACAATAGTTTTAAAATTTATGGAAAAGTTACAAAGATGGTGCAGTAGTTTCTATATATTGTGTTTGCTTATAACCCACACCTAGTTTCTGCTGTTGTTACTATTATATATTACTTTGTATGTTTGTCAAAATTAACAAAGCACTGTTGACACATTATAAACTAAAGCCAATATTTTATTTAACACATTAACTAAAGTCAATACTTTTCTTTTTATTTAACATGCTCTTTCTGTCTCAGTTTCTTATCCAAGGTATGTATTTTATTCCACAAGTTGTATTTTGAAAAGATGAACCTGGCCCATGTGTAGAATGGATGAGAGCGGATTAATCTGAACTTAGATCAGAAAACCATAGTGCCAAAAAGAAAAGGCACATAGCTTCACTTACGTACATTTTCCTTCCTTCCTCTGCAAAGCTGAACTTTGAAAGCTGTATAAAACAATTTCAGACCTAACTTGGCCTATATTTAACATGACTGTTCATTCTTTCAATTGGAAAAAAAAATACATATATGAGTTTGATTATGGAATGCTACCTGGGACCCCTCTATAGGTACTTCAGGAGGCACTTTTATGAAGTCTGAAAAGTTCTGAGTTTTAAATACATATGGCTTAAAGGATTTCAGAAAAAGAATTGTGACCTGGGGTATGGATGATGAGGTTCTCCTAAGAGCCGCCATGGTGGGGGCAGGCAGGAGAGAATGACTCAGTCACAGGGAACAGCATCATTAGTAGTTTGACAACCAAATAGCAGAAAGATCAAGTTCTGAAGTATTTTTAATCCTCCAGTATCACTATGCAACGAAAGAGCATGTGTGTTGTTCAGAAAGAAGAGCGTGGATGTGCTATGTTTATAGAGCAGAATTTCCCTTCATTAATAATAGTGTAACTTAGGGATATTCATACATAGTCTCTCAATTTGAAGAAAGTTACGGATAAAGGTATTCATTCAGATTTCCTAGGAGTAAATGTGCCTTTTAAATTCTTATACTTTTTGTTAACATTTTAAAATATTTAAACAAAAATGAATGATATTCTATATTCAGAAATGTATGTGGATTTAGATCTCAACTTTAATTTTAATTCTAAGCCCTCATTTTAAATATTTTAAAACAGATGTTAGATTAGAATTATTTTTTGTAATAAGCCATGTTACAGAGTTTTGCATGTTAATGGGAAAAATATTATGTTACTTAAAAATAAAATTACCAGAGGTGATTTCCTGATAGTTGATAAAATTAAGAATTCTAGAAAAAAAGTAATGGGAATTTTAAAGAATATCACAAATTTTGTTAGAGGCCAGACCTCACTTATTTGAACTTGTTCTCATTTTTTACTAATTAGATCATTATGTTAGTATTGTTCCTATTAGAACTAATTATATAGTTTTCATGCCAGTTGAGTATCTATTGTTTTAACTTGTATGCTAAATTTGACTGTTGTATCATACTCTTGAGTTTTGTGGAAATAATGAGAACCTGTCATTTTTACATCCCCTTAATATATATATATATATATATATATATATATATATATAAGCTCAGAGGAACCTTAACTTTGATTTAATGGATTGTAAACTTTTTTCTACCTTGTCAAGTAATAAAATTGTGAATACTTAAATAATGTCTTTCCCAGGATCTTTGCAAATGTGTTTGTGAAAAATAATTTCATCTCAGGCCCTTGCATTCCATGTGCTGAAGAAAGGCTTAGCCTGCCTTTGATGGAGACTTCTCCCATTTTATTGAGCAGTGATGTCCAGACTCAGGCTGAATTGTGTGGCATAAGAAAGGAGCAGTGAGCATTTGATGAAAGCCGATAATAAAATGCATCAATTGTGTCAGCACCTCGTTGCAGTCACATCTGGCTTACTGTCAGGGTCCTATTAGATTCCTGTGGTTTTATGTGCCAAAAATAATATGCTCTGTAGTTAATGGAACTGGGATATTTGCAGTTTGATTAAAAAAAAATCATCTTTTCTTTCAGATCTTTGTCAGGCTTAAGTTCCAGCTCTGAGCTGCCATGTCTCTTTAAAATTTTACGACTGAGAGATCAATTGTTCTTTTGATCTGTTTTTTTTTTTGTTTTCTCTCCACCCCCAACCTCCCCACCCCCCCTTTACAGTGATTCCAGCAGTCTCAGCAGCACTGATGCTGGTTTGTTTACCAATGATGAGGGAAGACAAGGTACTGAGATGCAATTTGTTTCTCTCTTTGGATAAAAGTAGTTTATTTCTGTGCAGACGTGTATGTTTATTTATATAGTCCTCAGCAACTCCATGAAGTAGACCCCATTCTTTATTTTCTCTGTCACCTTCCTTTATATCCCCTTGACCCTTCCTACCTCCCCCAACCCTCTGATCTCAGAAAACTCTCTTCATGTGTAGGTATCTTCTGAAAATGTCTTCATTTTAAAGTTGAGCTTATTCCTAGTTATTTCATAAGTTGATGAATGTGATCTGTTTACTCACACACACTACTGTTGGACTGGGGTTTGGTTCTTTTATATGTTCTGAAAGGCACCCTATCTTGACAACCTAAAGTAACTGATTATCTTCGAAAGGTACTCTGTAGAGCTAATGAATACTGAGAAAGGATTATCTTCTTTGAGAAAGCATTGCATACCTCAGTCTTTACTTTATAATATTGTTGTTTTTTAGAAAGTTGCAAGACATTGTTCTTCTTAAATTTGATTCCAAATTTATTTATTCTATTTAAATATTAGAAGTAGATTTGCAAGTCTTTGTCTAAAGACTTATTCATTTATCTACCTTGTAAGTAACTAGTCAGTTTTCATGAATTTAATATTGTAAATTTAGACAGTGATGTCATACAACCTAGGTTATTTCTATTTTAGAGATTTCCTGGAGGTTTTCAAACTTTAATATGGCAGTATTTTGAAATAACCTGTACTGGAAGAAGTTATGAAAAAGTTAATCAGGGAGGAGGAGCCATTTATGCAGACACTTACCAATAGTGTTATCTTCCTTTTTTGAAACTCTTTAGAAGAAGGAAGTGAGTTCTGAGGGAAAATATGAAAGGCTTGTTTTAATTAAGAATAATTTTAATGGTGTTAAAAAATAAGGAACAGAGTAATACTGCCCCAAAAGTTTTTTTATAAGTCTATTTATCCTCTTGGCAATTGAGTAAATAAATTAAATGACCATTCCTTTTTTGCTTTCTTATAAACTATTTGTCTCATATAGATACATAGTTTTATTAAGACCACAGACTTTAAGAGATTTTACCAAATTGTGTTAGAACCTTACAGCTTGAGAGTAACCTTGATAATAGACCTAAATTCTCCTTAAAGTAAAAGTTTACCCAGTGTTCTATTATAAATGTTAAATTTGGTTATGAAGGGAAGTGAAAAAAGTTTTAAAAATAACTTTTCCATAAACCTGCCAATCTTCAAAAAACATTGAGGGGGGCCCTCCCTGGTGGCACAGTGGGATAAAGTACCACACTAAGAAGCTAAAGCCACGTCAGCAATAGTTTGATTCCTGCCCCAGGAGGTGATCACAGAGTGTGGCAGACCTCTCCTGACCTGCCCGCTGCTCCCCTCAGCAATGTGCTTTGTTTATCTGCCTGTTCTGCTCCCCCTCTATCTCTGGTGAAGCCTCTCACCACCCCTGCTCCTCTGGCCTGTACCCCAGTTCTGTATGAATAAATAAATAAATCTTTAAAAAAAAAGCATCAAGGGGTATAGATGAATGTGCTAATATGTATATGAGCTTATTCCCTGTGCTATTGGGAAATTGCTAAATCCTTTTTATTTTTAATTTACTTTAACATCTTTAGTTCTTAACAGTATTCTATGATATTCCCTCCCCCCCCCCCTTTTTTTTGTTAAGATGAAGAAGGCTAGGACAGTAGAGCTGAAGCAGCTTCCCCACTGTTATTATAGAAATTTAGAATTCTAATTGGTCTTTCTGACTTTAGGTCCCAAATTCTTAATCTTTAGTTATTTGGTTTCCCTATTAGGAATAAAAACTGAGTATCACATCAACAATAAACTAGTCTCATTTTAATGCTGTCTCAAATGGAATTAAACTCTAAGGTAGTCACTTTTTAGTAACCCCTATATTTTCTTGGGGTTTTAGCTAGCTGACTTGTGAAGTTTGGATGTCATGCTCAGTGAAAATACTGATACTTACATGCTTTGATGGTTCTTTCTAATTTATTTTTATTGACTCCTCAGTTGGAATAAGTTTACTGGTAGCTTTGGTTTCCCAACTATTTTGCATTTTTGACCCACAAAATCATTTTCAGTGGAATCGGAAGGATTTTTCTGTTTGTTTGCATCAAAAATATTTGTAGTCAGAAGTTTTGAAAATTAAGAAATCTCATTCTCTAGAGTGAAATAGTTCATGGCAGTTATGGTAATGATCCTCATAGAAACCAGAACCCAGAATGTGATTCTCAGTTGCTAAGAATCACAAAGAAGTATAGTCAAGACCTACCCTACTTTTAATAGTCAGCGATCTTAATCTCAACTTTTTGTTTCATTTTACTTATTTTTATTATTCCTTTTATAAGATACAAAATACTGTTAATTCCCACCAAAGACACATTTTAAATTATTAAAATGTTTATATTGCTTATTACTCCATGATCATACTCCTGGATGTTCTCCACAGTCAAACTTAACTTGAATGGTGTTCTGTCTTAAAAATAAAATTCTTGTAGCAGTCCAGTGTTGATTATTTGTCAACTGTGTCGAATTGTCACTTTTCATTTAAAATCAACTTTTTCACAACTATTTCTTAATGAATCTAATCAGATTAATTTCATTTAGTCACATCTGTTCCTGATTGCTTCCCCTTTTACACTCCATACAAATCATGAAATTAAGCTAATTATATACCATTATCAACTGCAAAGAATAGGTTCTACAGCTTTGTACCTTCTCATTCCTGGCAGGAGATTAAGGCTTGTTTTTCCTTAATGGGGAAAAGGAAATAATGTAAATGGATTGCCTTACAGTTTTTACCAGTTTATTATTTTTTCACATTTTTGAATTAATTCTAAAACTTAACATTTTACATTTTTGTTTCTTGTAGTAATGTTAAAAAAAAAACTGTTCTTAGCTGAAGCTATGAAGCTCTACTATGATTACCAGGAAAGTATACGGTCCCCAGTTTTTTAATTACATAGAATACAAAAAAAAGTTTTTAATAGAAGTATGTCTCTTGCAGAATTTGGACATACTTAGATGAAATATTTAGTGTAAGTACTCCAGACTTATTAAAAATTAGTCATTTACCTGAAATTCAGATTTAATTGCCGTCTGATATTTTGATTGTCTAAATCTGACAACTGTTTGGATGATAAGATTGACCGTTGGGGGGTTTCTTGTTTTGGCACAGGCGATGATGAGCAGAGTGACTGGTTCTATGAAAAGGAATCAGGTGGAGCTTGTGGCATCACAGGAGTCATACCCTGGTGGGAGAAAGAAGATCCTACTGACCTAGACAAAAATTTGCCGGATCCAGTCTTTGACAGTATCCTAACTGGTTCTTTCCCCCTTATGTCGCATCCGGGTAGAAGAGGTCAGTGGCACCCATTAGGTGGGCTGTGGTTAGTCTAGGCAGACGCACTGAAAGGACACAGGCCGAAATGGTACAAGTCTAAACACAAGATGCTGTAAAGAGAAATGTGGCAGTAATGCAGCTACTGTGTTGATCAAGCTGTCACATTACTAGAAAAGTTAGACTTGCTTTCTTGCTAGGCCTGTCTTGAAAATGTTAAAAGATAGAAGAGTAAATTTAGAGAAAGGAAAATTCTTGGTAACACCCTCTTATTGAAATAATGGTTAGTTGTGTGTTGACTGCAGTAAAATCACACTCAGCATTATTTTAGATCTTGTCAATGTGAGTTTTTCACTTTTGCTGCTACTATATAATGTTTGTCCCTCCGCCCCCCAACTTACTGTACTTTCTGTATTCTGTATGGGTAAGAGCTTTTTCTTTATTTAGTGATCACAGACTTCCCTTAAAGTGAGTACTTTGATTTTCCAGGTTTCCAAGCCAGACTCAGTCGCCTTCATGGAATGCCTTCCAAGAATATTAAAAAATCAGGAGGGACCCCCACTTCAATGGTAGGCATGCTTTTTTTGTTTAATTGTCATGTTTGGGAATGTGTCCATTTCTATGGAATAAAAAGCCACATCCTCATCCTTTATTCACATTCTAATGTTATACTTAAAAATAATCCATTTTTTTGTAGGCTACAAACTGGACCAGTGAGATTCCCCTATAAACCAAATCTGCTAATGCTAATAAATTAGTTACGTTTTGAACATCTGGGGAATGACATTCGAGGGAACCTGGCTCCTGTCCTCTTCCCCTGGAGGAATATCATTGAAGTGAGAGCCTCTTTGATGAAAAGATGGGGCTGTTTATGCTGGAGGACTGGGATTCTTCCTTTAGTCAGAGGTGAACTGGTTGGGAGGGCTTTTAGGGATTTAGGTGGGCCCAGGGTGGATAGAAATTACTGTAAATTTTATATATTTTTCTCTTTTATGATTTTTTTCACTTTGAATCAATTTATGTATCACTTGCTTTGTTGCCAAAATGCTAACAAAAGCTAGCAAATGCAAAATTTGCAAATCTTACATAAGTATTTCTCAATGTTTATATTGTGACTGGTTAAAAATTCAATTTTACATATCTGCTTGTTGTAAATAAAAAAAATGATACATTTACATTTATGGTTCATTTTTAGAGAAGTCATAACCAGCATTATTTAAAATATTTGCATTTTACTCAGGGTATGTTAACAAGGGCTAAGATGAATAGTAGGTGAGCTTGCTAATTTTTGCTAGTTTGTACTTTGTTCATTTGCTTTCTGCTTAGATAACCTGCTCTGTATTGCATATCCACTGTATTTATAGTTTGGTGTTCATTGTACTACAGAAATTTGTCGCGTTTATAGACTAGCCGCAGTGATAACTGCTCTGTGCTAGTAGAATTCCTCCACTATTAGCTTTCAAGTTTTTGGTTTTGTCTGCTACTTGAAACCATGCAAAATTATCATTTTGTCTTCGAGCTTATGGAAATAATGTGAAAGCTGGTATTTCAACAAATACTGTATGACTGAATCATACTGTCATGTTTAAGAGTGAGAGCCGCTTGCACACCTTTAGATTGACAGACCATGTGTGTCACTGTGTCAGACATCCTGGCAGGAGCTCGTTTTCCCCAAGCTAAGGATATCACACACCATTGCTATTGATGGCATAATTTAGACACTATGCCAGTTCAGGTCATTTTTCAATACGGTCTTACTGAAATGATTAATATTTTTATTAAATCCTAATAACTGATGAAAACTGTGATTGAATACATGTATTTTTCATATTATTGTATGGATTGATTGTTAATTTAGCACTTAATGGCTAATTTAAATATGATTGGAAAAGAAACTTAAAGTTGACCTTTACCTAAAATTATTATAATCTGAAAGATTTTAGCCAATGTATTAAGGAACCACATCTGACATCAGTTTAGATTGTTCTAAATTGAGAGACATACAATCATAAAGTGCAACTTTGAGTATCTTTACCTTTGCATAAAGTAATATGTTAGAGGTCACTAATGTGGTGTTTGGTAATTGTAAGTAAGCTTTACTGTGTTATGTCTTTTGGAGTGAAAAATTCATGATTTTTTTTTTTCTGAATTACATAAATGCTTTTATTTTATTTTGTATAATGACTGTCTTTTAGATCTGAATAAGTCACTTTAAAACCTTGGCCTGTGAACTTTGCCTTACCAATCACGAATCTAGATGAATGCTATCTAGTTCTTGGTTCAGTTTTACCTATTTTTATTTTTGGTTCACTGCTTGCTTGAGCATAGCTGGGATTTGTAGCCCATTTTCTAGGCTTATTGCAATTGCACTGTGGTATTTTATAGAAGCTATTACAACTGATAGGCTAGCTTCATGGTATTGATGATACATGGCTTAACCATAGTAAAGCTGCCTTTCCTCTCTCAATTGTAAAAAGGTGATTAAGTTTCACATGATGGAGATATACTATATATGTGTATTTATCATGGAACTAGTGCACTAGGCCATAAACTGTTTTTTCTGGTCTACACATTTTTGTATTGAGAATTTTATTGAAGACGATGGGCGTCAGGTTTTCTTTCCATTCCAAATTGTCCTTGTTTGGATTTTTAAGTACTGTATTCTTTTTTTTTTTTTTTCAATAAAAAATATCTGACTTGGACAAGCAAGGTAAGAGTTTGAGTTTGTGCTCATATTTTAAAATTGTTACATTGAGTTTCTGTTATTTTGTTTTTCATACTGTCTATATCATAGTGTAACTATCTAGCTTTAAATATCATGACTCGCAGTCATCTTCGAATAGTACCCATGGCATCCAGAAAAAAGAAATAAAATTTAGTCATCTTAGACTTTCACATTGAAAGCCAGATTGTTTCTAAGAGATTAATTTTCAGAGTAAAATCAGAAATGGCAGCCACAATTCATTAAGCAGAATGATAACAAAGAGTTTCCTTTTCTTAATTAGAAGAGTGATGGTTGCATAAATACAGTGATTTTTGAAAGAAGTGATAGGATCTTTACCTAAAATATTAATGCAAACAATTTGGGGGTGAGGGAGTTTTTAACTGAATTGTAGTCAGTTCTCATTCATGATACTATTTTCTGTAAGGTTGTCGTAAAGCTTAAATTAGTGAAGAATATTTGACCTTTGCTCCTAAGAGAAATACAGGGTTAGGTTCCTGTGAGCCTCTAGTCAGGACACTTTGATTAGTCAGTGGATACATACCCTTATATTTTTGTGTTGAGAAGCACCTTATTTGATGCATTTTGTTGATTCATTAATATTGAGCTCATGGCCAACAGCATATCTGAACACAGCCAGTGCATTCACTTTCTCCTTACAGCCCATCACAGCCTTCTTGTGGTTGGGAACAGTGGACAGCATAGTAGCACTAAGCTTGGGGGCCATTTATAAACAATGAATCACCCTAAAAAGCACAAAAATGTAAAAAGAAATAATAACATTCAATAAGCCATGAAAATATACTTGTTTGTAATATGAGCACTGAATCAAGGAGGCCAGTGAAGCCTCTTTGGACCTCAGGTAGGGATGTGCCAGGTGACTCCAAGATCTTGTAGCTCTGTTCATGTTCAGGAATGATTGCAAGCACTGGGGGCATTGGCTTGGGTTTAGAAATACATTTTAGCAATTAGACAAATATGTACCCATGAGACCTGGACCAGGAATGAAAAACGACAGAATTTAATTTTGTAGAGAGCACAGAGGGGTGTTGTAGAAAATGTACAGGCTTTGAAGCAGACCTTCATGGATCCATCCTCTGGTTCTTTGTCTTATTGTAAGGACATTTTGAACTTCATTTATTCTTTCTGTTAAACAGAGACAATAATTACTTTAGAGAAGTGTTGTCAGGATTACATGAGATTATGTGTGGATAATGGGTGCGCACCCTCGCCAGCACAGGAGGGATGTGAAGTAAATGTTAGTTGCTGTTACTATTCTACGGATTAAACACAGTAGCTCATGACAAAGAGAACATTTGTACCATGGGTTACTCTGCAGACTTGTAGACTTTAAAACTTTTCTGTTCATATTATACATAAATATGCCTTTGTATTTAATTTTCAAAATGCTTTATTTACAGCGATGCCTATATCAATTATATTTGTACCAACCCTTGTCTTTAATAGTCTGTAAAGAATAATTCTCAATCAGATTTTGTTTGACAACCACTGTACTACATCTCAAAATTGAATTACAAAATTAAGAAGCTGTTCTAAAGATTGTTCCCTACCTTTAATCATTATCTGATTCTATTGTAGAGAGACATGTATGGTCTAGAGTTATCTGACTTTAATAAATAATTCTTGGTCCAAGAACATGAGGGGTGAATGCAGACCGTTGTAAGAATTTAATGTTGAAAGGATTACTTATTGCTATTTTTCTGGCTAGAACAATGTCTCATTTTATTGTAGCCCAGCTAGCTAGCCTCTGATATGCACCTCTTTTAGGAGAATTAAGTAAATGATACCTTATTCCAAGGGATATCAGGGTTGTCGGTATCCAGTAGATTTATCCTGAAGCTTCTGTATTTCCAGAATATGTATGATGAAAATCCTAAGAATAATAATTCAAATGATTCAGAACCAGTTTTGGATACAGTATTTACAAAGCAAGTCTGATTAACCCAACAAGTCTAGCATGCATGTCAGTTAGCTAGATCTTAGCTAATTAATCTGCTTTCTGTAGAGTTTTTTCATTTATTTATTTATTTTTTTATGATTGATGGCCTTCAACAGGTGTTGCATTTACTAAAGTTAGCAGGAAGGAAGTAGCTGAACTCCAATATTATTGCTACATAAGGAGTTATATGTGAGGGTTCTCTAATCAGGTTTATCTAATTGTTTCAGTCCATTTTTTTTGTATGGTTGAAATGAGAAGAAATATGCTGGTGATGCTTGTGTGGGTTATTCTGTCAAAGAACATGAGTCTTATTTAATTAACTTTTATTTATAAATGTTTTTCAAGTTTAAATATTTGGAAAAAATGTGAACATCAACCCTTAAGCTAAATTATCATGCTACACAAGTAAACATTCTATTCTATATTCAAACATACAGTAGCTCTGAACAGAAATTATGTCTTTTCAGAATCTTGCGTTAATTCATTCTGAAAAACAATATTTAATATTTTTCTCCTTCTGTGAAGTGATAGAAGACCAAAATTTTATGAACTGCATATTGATAGTAATGATACTATAACTATTCATTCTGTATATCTTGCTCATCTTTTGTTTTAATATATCTTAGGGTAGTAGTATATGAATATTTATCCTGATTTATACCAGATTTTACTAGTTTAGTTTCATGCTGACTGGATTTGGTTAAAATAAGGGAACTACAGGAACTCTTAGACTAGTCTGAGATAGAGAAGAACTTTTATAGTACATACTAAGTAAAATGATTTTTTAAGATGTACACAGCATATACACTAAACTGTAATTTTACCATGTGCTAACCAGTTATCTAATATTTTCCATATTAAAGCTTAATTTAATAACTAATTCAATAACTAATGCTTAATTATAGTCTATATGAGATAATACTTGCGTCTTTTGCGCATTTTTGATATTTTGCAGAATAGAAAGACTAAGTATTTAGAATATCATTATCTGACTATATTCTAAGTATATATTTTATATATATGCTAGTCTAGGTTTTATCTTATTTCACGGTCAAGCTAAGGTTCATATTTCATGTTAGAATTGGATCCTTTTTTCACTAGGATTTATTTTCAGATAAAATGGACTTTGTATCATAGAAAAGTACTGCTTAATAGAATTATGAGAAATATTTCCTTTACTAAAGGTATTTTAATGGTGTCTTTTGTTTGATTTAAATTCTCTATTTTGATATCATTCACAACTTTATATTTCATACATAATTTATTCATAATTGATAATTAAAATATGAATCTAACAGTTTTTCGTTTTATTCCATTAGAAGCTCATCTATAGCAGTATTACTTATTTTAATATAAATCATTAAAAGAAGAACAGATACATACAAATTTAAATAGTATAGAAAAACAATTTTCCTTTATTCATTTAACAAGCATTTGAAAACTTAATATGTTCTCCATATTTAGGCTTAAACATTCTTTAAGAATAATTTCATAATATATGTTCAGCTTGGTATTTTATTACTATTGTATTTAGCTACATACATTGTTTTTCCCTATTTTTAAGCATTTGATCCTCCTTTGTTAACTTAGTGGTAGGATTCATTTGACTTCATATATTGTTACTTGGATTTTTGATGCTTCAGGAATCTGGAACACATCAAATAGAATGTTAGTAATGGTTGCAAATATTATAGTGATAGTCACTATGTGCCAGTCACTCTCCCAAGTGCTCTTTATATATTCAGTACTTTTGATCCTGTTAACATCCCTACAATGTAGGTGGATGGCTAAAACATTTTTGCCCCTTTGGTAAATCAAAATTTATTCAGTCTGGAAGTTTCTTCATTTCTCTTTTCTTATTGTTAATAAATACAAATAAATTCTCTCTTCATACAACAATCTTCATTCCTAGTTACAAATGCTGTCGGGTGTGAGATATTTTGAAACCTTTTGATATTTGACAGTGTCCTTTGCTGTCTTGAGTGGCAAACACACTCACGGTATGTGCCACAATAAAAATGAGATTAAAATGTTTTACTGTGTGCATCAGACTAATCACTAGAGCCAGGTCCTCCATTCTGAGTCTTCTCTCTGTTTCTCGGTAGCTTATGGACCTCCCTCTTGATCTTTGATATATCTGATTCTGGTTGGCTTTCTTGCTCTCTCTCAACTTGTTTTCTCTGCTCTGCCCTAATTGGACTCTTGCAGTACAAATCTGTTTTACAATGTGCTACTGTCTCATTTCTACTCAGCTCAGTTGTGATGATACCCTCTGTATTTATTTTACTCCTTGCCTTTTTATAATGCTAGGCAGGATAATTCTGGGAATACCAACCACACGCAGTTCTTCATCTGGGATTTCACGAATGATTTGGAAATCACTAGCTCGTTAGGGATGGAATTGGCAACTATAGTTGTGGAGGGAGCAAACTTAAGTTTGCAACAGCACTATTTGCTAGGAATACCCTGACTGCAGCGTTGCTGAAGTGTAAGGTCTACTTACCTGGAGGGGTTAGTTGTAATTTGGTTGGTAAGATAGGCCAGAGATTATTTTATACTCTGTGGTCCTTGGAAATGCATGCAAACTCATTTGCTCTAGTGGAGTGAATGTGATCACATTCGTCTTTTAAAAGGTCACAGGTACAGTAGTATATAGAGTACATTGGATGAGTATAAATTAAGACTGTTTCAGGAGCATAAGCCCTATATCCATTCTCCCAGTAGGTGGGAGCCACAGTAGACTGAACTCCTGTGTTATACAGGATTTGATATTCTGATTGCCTTATGGGTAGTAGCCACTCACTTAGCAAGTACTGCTTGAGTAGTCTTCTGTATGCCTGGTTCTTTTTTAGGCGTTGGAGGTTATAGGGATGAAAAAGGCACACGAGGGTACTGGCTTACATTCCAGTGAGTAAAAATAAAGTTGACTGGGGAGGATAGAGTAAGCAATTGAAAATAGCCATCGAGAAAATGAAACAGGGTAAAAGTGGGGAAAATTTCAGGACATGCAGGTTCTTGGAGAGAGAATTTTG